CATAATCAACACGTGCTTCTTACAATATATGAAAAAGCATAAAATAAATTACTATATATCATATAGTCAATGGATTATATTTGATGATATTCCAAATGAATTATCATGTGTTAAGAATGGAACAATTGAATTGATATAAGTAAAATAGTTCTCTCTCTCTCCCTATATATGCATATAGATATAAATATATGGCTGGAAGAATTAATCAAACAGGATGTCTTTTATGAACATTGTCACATGTGTTTTGAATATATTTCATCATATTAATTTTTATTAAAGAAAAAATAATAATAATAATATAATAAAATATTTTTACTAGAAAATGATTTCTAAAAAAAATTGATTTTTTTTTCAAGTTGAAACATCTGTGTTGTGTCAGTGTGAATATAAAATAATACAATATACATTTGTAGGTAATCAAGATATGTGTTTCTATTATTATTATTTGAATGAAAATAAAATTGTTATCAATTCTAAAAAAATTACTTGATACAGCAGTGATCTTCATCAAGTTTAAAATGAACAGATGTCACTGAGGGACATACAAATACATACAAATGAATTTATTGATGTCTTGTTGAGAAAATTTTTGAGAAAATTTTTGAACATAAATAACGTTTGTTGATGCCTACGATAAATGAAATGAAAAAGTGGAATAGTGTATCTTGTAGGCCTTGAAAAACTGCATAAGATCATGTATTTACATATAAAAATAAATTGTTCATGTAATGCCTATAGAGGACACAAAGAAACCAACATAGGATGATAGTGTAAAAATTAGTGTTCCATCAAGCAGGTGATGTATGGCAGACTTAGAAAATGCTTTAAAAATAGCGTAGTCGACGTAGATTTTGATGCTGATTATGAATCTGAAGTCAGATTTTTTATTCGAGCAAACATATGATGCACAGGAGCCAATGAAAGGGCACAGTTAATGAAAATTACCATCATCTGCTAATATTTGCTACCAAAGTTTTAGCAATTGGAGTTATATATCAAACAATGCAGAATTTGAAGGGCTTTCAGAAAATATATTTTTTTTTTGGGGACTGAACTTTCAGTGTGGTTTTCAAGCAAAATACTAGAAAATTGATATAGTAACCAACTCACATTTTTGCCTGTAGATTGAAATTATGAATTAGTGGACGCTACTCTGAAAATTTTAAAATTAGCTCACTTTTTAGAAAAAACATTTCTACATCTTTTGAGATATTTCCAGTCTCAAACCGATGAATTATTGCAGAGAAAAATGAAAAATACAACAAGCACTCTAGAAAGTCATTTTTTTAATCAGGTGCAAGACCAGTGTCACTTGCATACTCAGGTGTTTTTCACAGGAAAGTCAGAAAGATCTGATATTTTGGATGTAGGAACTCCTAATGATGATCTATCGCTTTAGATAGTTAAATCGAAAATCAAAATTTTAACGGGCGATCGGCTTCATACAAAGTTAGTCGGTTCTCTCACGAATACTCTTCTAATAGTACTTTGCTATCACATAAAGTATAAAAAGTACTTTACAGTTCTTTTAGAAGTGCTTAATAATACTTCATGCGTTTAAAAAAGTAAGTTATGGTTGTCGCTCATTTTCAACCATTACATGATGAAATACGATCTAAGGTATTGAATATCAAGTATTGCTTCAGTTGTGTTTAAGTATTTTGTAAATGTAAGAGTAATAGTGTTGTATAGTTGGAGATCATACGTATAGCATTCTGTGGCTAGGATACCATTTTTAGTTTGTCTATCTTATATATAATATGAATTTGTATTGCTCAGTGTAGATGGTGAATAGTGCTTTCACACTTGTAGATAATTTTTGGTTAAAACATTGGACTACCTCAACCACAGCTTTTTTCTCACTCGTGAAAAGTGATTGCTTTACATGAGAAGGGAATAATATTTATTTAAATAAAAAAGGTTAGTAAAAATGGAATAGATACAAAGGAGATAGGCGTCGGCTTGACGAGCTATACTCCAAGTTCGAAAAGCGCATGAAATGGCGTTTTCCGTTTGGATGTTCGAAGTAAACACATTTTTCCACAATATCATTAGTTCGTATAAGACGAGTAGAGAAATTCTTCTTGGAATAACTTTGAACTGACGAGTATTTGAACTCGTCGTTGTTTTCGACAGAACAAGTAAAATGGTTAACAGCTGTTGGATAGTCAACCGGCAAGAAGGTAATGTCAGTCTCGACTATAATGCATATTGATCGTATGTGTGTCCCTTATGCAATTGGTCTTGAATATAAAATACTATGGTACTATCATCACCAGATTTGAAAACGGCGTTTCGATAAGTACGGAACATGATGTTGTCAGTCTGTACTCGATAGAAAAAAGTAATATTGTTTTGAGAAAAAAGAGCTGTGAAGAATGGATCGCCTTTATCTGTTTTTCAAGATGTGCAAATGTAATTCTAGTTGACGTTTTCTTTCACATAGATGATAGATAATAGAAAAAGTTTAAAAGAAATGTCGAGAGTTGGATCGTTCAGATGCTGATGCGCACACTATAATATTTGCAGGTTTGAGATGATTTCTTCAGCATGACGCATAGTACTTTTGCATGCACGTGTAAGTAAACCTACAACGACAAAAATGATTGAAAAATTAATGGTGAAATCCTACCTACTTGATTCTCGAAATTAAATGTCACATAATTAGTCAATGGTCCAAAGTCATAAACAGTAGTAGCAATGTAAGCGATAAAGTGAACGACTTCATCACAATGATGGTTCGTGTACAAGTGAGAGAATGACACAACAAAACTTTCACCTAGCTTCTGCATAACAGTAATACAACAATTAAGTATGCGTTGATTTTCAGTCAGGTGTAGAAGACACACACGTTGAAGAATACGATTGTGATATTTTTTTTCGAAGAATATATTAGCAAACATAGCATGACCAAAAAGAAGCAGTACACGTAAATCATTGGTTTTAAACTCTGAATACTGAGAATAAGCACACATGGTAAGCGTGTAGTGGTGGATAGCAATCGAACTTTTTTAAATAGTTGAGTAAGTTCTTCTGCATGATTACGAACGCTCCAAGGTTCAGATCCGTATTCTGATGATAACCAAAGAGACAGCATTCGTTTCTAAAATATTGTTGATATGTACTTAGGATCGCTATTCATGGAAACAAAAGAAGAAAACCTTCGTCAAGTCTACTAAACAGCTTATTTGACACTTACTTCAACTTAAGGGTGTGGTTGTGTGAGTGGCTATGGATGTGCAGAAAACTAACACTTCACATCCGCACCTCACACGCACCCATTCCAGTAGAAGCATGACGAGATTATTTGAAATAGGACAGGCAATGCTACTCATCTTTCAATATCATACTGCACCAGAGAAAGCTCGAAAGCAGCGTTTATTCGGCTGCTGACTATGATATGGCAAAATATTCTAGCTGGTGAACAAAAAAATTCGGCTTTTGATTTGATCAAGCTATATGATGATCTCTGCAATGAATGAAAACACAAAGTACATATGAAAGTAGGAAATCGTTTTGTTGCTCACCGTTGAGAACTTGAAGAGAAGAAAAAACACAAGAATAACATTTTTCACTGGAGATATTTATTGTTGCAGTGTCGCTCGAATTCGAACTTGAGATAGTGCTTCCCTACCTATTAATGATTTCAAGTCAATGTACCAAATAGTTTTATATGCTATCGTGAGCAGTGCAAAGCGATGGATTTGATTCCTCCTCAGTGTCACCCAAACCGATTTTTCGGATAATTAATTTTTATTCATGATAGACTCTCTTTAATTATTGATCGGTTTCAGTATTTTATCAATTGAAATAATCAAAAAAAGTACATCGATAGTCACATATCAAAGTGTAAATAGAGCATTGGCATCGTCTCATCTGACTAGTCAATCTCAACAACATGTAAATAATTTATAAGTTCGATCTTGGTTGGAAAATATAGCGAAACAGAAAGGCGGAGCACCATCTTCAAATTATAATCCATTTATTCATGACTTGAAATGAATCTTGCCATTGTTATTTATTGAATTTAACAGACCAATTGTAATAGGAACGGTTCAATACAAGATTTTTCTGTTTATTTATTCGCAATTACCAATAGAATCCGTCACAATCTATACATTACGAGCTTCATTTGAGAAAAAAATATTTAAAAATACAGGGTGTAGTGTGATGTTGCTGTAAATATGTGTTTTCCGAATGTGCATATTGATATTGACTTTTCTTCACACCCTCTTTTAACGTATTCAAGTATTCCTATTTTAAGTTTTCCTTCGAAGATGTTAATATTTGATGGCAATCACATTTGTCAAGATGTCTTCCGATTGTGTCTTTCTAGAATAGTTCAGTAGTTTGAATCGTTGAATTAACAAGTTTAATACATGAAAACTTCAAGAGAACTTCAATAACGAGAGCCAATCGCTTTAAGTTTCACTCTACTATATCGGACAAGCAAAAATAATAAGATCAATAAAGTATTTCCTGAAGTATCAACGAATAATCTGTTCATTATTAGTAAACTATCTCTACGACAGAGGGAGAGAGAGTAAAAAATAGGATCGACATTATCATGGTGTTATAAGTTTATTATTTCGTATTTGGTTTGTCGAGATTAATTATTGCTTATCTGTTGAGATTATGTAGCTATGCAGAAGAAGGAAAAAATATATACTCATAGACATATTTTGGATGTTCTATCAGACAACCACTGATAGAAGACTCGAGAATAGAATAATACAACGATAGTAGAGAGAAGAAGATGTAGAAGAATGGCAAGAGAGAGCAATCAAGTGCACTTTCTTTATATTATTCGCCTTGGTTATCTTATAGCAATAATCTAAATAACACTACGACCTGATGGTTGTTGTTAGTATTCCATGTGATATTGTCTAGTGTTACGAAAAGATTTATTCAAACCTTTAGCTTGTTTTATTTCAGAGAACAATCGAAAAATGCAACAATTCATTTTACTGATTCTTATCTCTATATTATCTTTGCTTGAAATGAAATCAAACTCAAATGAGATATTAAGAAAAAAGATTTGTCCATCTACCGGAACCTTAGCCATATTCGATAAATCGGATCGCGCACAGCAATTATGCTTATGGCAAGTATTTCGAGATTTAAAAATTCGTCGTAATTCTAAGGTGGCAGATGTTGGAGCAGGAAGTGGTTGGCTTACTGTACGACTTGCTGCATTTGTTGGTCCACAAGGCAAAATATATGCAGTAGAAATTTTGCCTAGATACGTTTCATATATCGAAGAAGAGATTAAAAAACATAAATTAAACAATGTTGAAGTAATTCTTGGTACAACGACAGATCCAAAATTACCCGAGAATGCATTATCTGCAGTCATGATTTTAATTGCTTATCACGAATTCGAGAAACCAATTACGATGTTAACTAAAATTCGTGGAGCGATGAAAATTGGCGCACGACTTGGCATTTTAGAAAGAGATAACAATCAAATGCGAAAAGAAGCGCGCGAAGCTTATGCTAAAACAGGATATATATTACATCGTGTCAATGAAACATTGGCTGATAATTTTGTAACTAATGAACATTATTTAGCACTTGATATTGTTGTACGAGAAGCCAAATTAGTTGGATTCACATTTTTATTTGCTCGCGAACTCGGTGGGGACTACTATATTGCTGTTTTTGTTAATTCTTAGTGAATCCAGTAGTAGGGGTGTGGGTATGGGTATGGTTCAAAGAAGGCCCGCACCTGACACTAACATCTAAACCAGCTCACCTTCATACCCACACCCATACCCCTTGTCTAATATCGCAGTACTCTTCTCTGTATTGGGTGTTAATAAACAATTATATAAAATTTTAAATAATCCAATTTTTGCTGATGCTGGCGCAAGACTTACAAGTGCTCGGTTAAAAGTTAAATAAGTTAAGAACGCAAGCAGCTAGCGATCTGCAGTTTTCAGCAGTTGAAAAAGAAGACATGAGGATATCCTTGTCTCCGATAATATTTAGGATAAAATCATTTTCAAACCAATGATCTCCAGGAAACATTCAACAAAATGTATGAGAATAGCCTGTTATTCAGATAAAATATTAATTTTCACATTTTAAAGCAAATTTTCTTACTTTTTATCGAAATTTTATCGGAATAACAGACCATTTTCATACATCTTTTTAAAATGTTTTCTGGAAATCATTTGTTTCAAAGTGATTTTGTCCTAAGTGTTATCGGAGAAAAAAAATGTCTCCATGTCTTCTCTTTCGACTGTTGAAAACCGCATATCGCTAACTGCTTGCGTTCTCTATTTATTCAACTTTTAATCGAGTACTTTTAAGCACCGCACTGACATTAGTTGTTTAACATTATTGAGATATATATACCGGACGATTATATGTATTCATTATGTGTTTCAATACTTGAGCGATTTTATTGGCATTTCTTATGTAAAAGTCATCATTACATCAAATGATTCAATCTTGAATATTCATCAATGAAACGTATTCTGGGTGTGAGCGTATATGGATGCGACTGCGGCCACAACTATGGATGAAGAGTATATTCAAACCTGCACTCCCATGCTCAAGTCAATGTTTCATAAATATTGCGAACTGACATATAGTTTCGAAGAAAATGGTGAGTGTAAGTTTAAGAACAAGATTTTGCGACCCCTCTTTCCCCCACCATTATGGATTCTCCCCGTATTATAGACTATGGCAACGCAGGCTCTCACTAGAGACTGTAGGAATCGAGAATAACAGGCGTTAAACTGATCAAGTTATAATTTTGAAAAATAGTCAGCATCATTGTTTGTGAGTTGGTTAATAGATATTGAAGAGCGTGAAACCTCCTCTAGATATCATGGATATGTAAAATAGACTTATTTGTCAAGCCATAGTAAAAAAGCTAGGGTGCTGTGCTTATAGAAAAAATAAAAAATTCTGTTCTAAATGTAGAAATTAAAAAGGTTCTTACTCTGATGTTCCATTATCCTGCAAAGCAACTCTAGTCTACGAGAAATTTTTCACTTTACGCATTTTTTTAATTTATTTAATGAGGCTAGAGAGCATATGTGAGTTCCACATTTCAACTGGTCAAAGGGGTTGCGTTAACAAGCTTTTTTCTTAGAGCTCAAAATCCACTTTCGAGCAGCATACATATCTCAGATAGAGATCAAATTTGAGAATTACATTAGTGCCATAGAAGACAATCGTTCACAAAAAGCATAAGATGCCATTTTCTCAACTATGGTGTAGAAGAGCTCATATCAAGGAATTAAGTGTGCTATACTAGCTGATAGAGTGATGAAAGATGAACAAAATTATGCTAAAAAATTTCGTTGAAAGACGAAACTTATTGGACTTGTGACGGCTAACTTTGGCGATATCCCACAATTAGAGCATACTGTCGTTCGTTGTTATTTCAAACAACCCCGGAGTTGTGTTTTGTATGCAAGTAACCATCATGTACTTCTACAAGATCAAACCATCTGTCCCCGTAAGAATTCTTGAAACTGTATCGCTTTTTGAATTTCTTTTCTCCATTGAAATACCGGGTGTCCCAAAAGTCCCTTCCACTTAAATTTTTTCTATATCCTTGCTATTTAATTTCACTTGATCAACTATTGTTTTTCTAAATGATAGGTAGATACACCGAGTTTTTATTTATAAAGACAAACTTCAGAAGTACTGCTCAAAGCTAAGACTTAGAATCGAAATACAAAAATGTAGCCTATTTTATATTCCCAGAACAACATTACGCAAAATTCCTTTTTCAATTATTTCGGGTTATTAAGTGGTTCAGATATTTGAGTTCTTCAATTTTTGACGAATCTTTTCATAGAATTTTACTTTGGTATGTCTTCACNCTATACCTAAGAGGAAATTTAGACCCGGTCTGCATTAAGTTACGAATAAATATATATATATCAATAACAATTGAAGTCAACAAAATTGAACGAGAAACAGTCAGAAATAATTCTACACTCATTTTATCTTTAAAATGGCCAATGAAGAGCTAAAATTGTGTTCCCTTTTCTGTTCATGTACACAGAGGGTGCCAAATATTGGTGAAAAAAGGATTGGGTCTAGACCCGGCCGGGTCCGGGTCTGGACCCGACCGGGTCCGGGTCTAGACTCGACCGGGTCCGGGTCGGGCCCGGGTCTGAAAATTTAGCTTTTCCCGGGTCCGGGTCCGGGTCCGGGTCTAAAAAAACATGGACCCGCAGCTCTCTACTTCAAAGATGCCGTCAGAATAGTTTTCAAAAAATGAATGTGTGAATGTATGTCTCTTTTTTTTCACAACTACCCAGACCCTAGTACTTTTGTCACTACTGTAATTATTTCGGATAACCAAGTTTGTACAGCCGTTTTCTATTATCTATGGTATTGAAACATTATAGTAATCAACTTCTTTTCTAAATCAATCAGTATTTGTAGAACTTGATGCATGTCGTTGGATTCTAATGAATAAAAAGCTCTTTCTCATTTAAGATTTCATTTCCATAATGTTAAAGGTTGTTTCAGGTGGTGTACTCGTACATCTAGGATTCATACGAATATCTCATCTTGTATGGACTATTCTCAATGCAATACTTGGCGTACTTTTTTTTATCCTCGACATTCTGTTACCAAGAATGTATTATGAGCCATTTGTTAATTTTTTTGACAAAATATACATATCCGATTCTTTTCGAGAAGTCCTCGCCTGCGGTTTATATAGCAACACAGATAATGCACAGCTTACAATGCCCCCTGTCGCATTGTATCAATTCAATGGATATTTTACCCATGTCAAGTCGGCACGACGTTTCTATGTACTTATTTTTCCGATGCATTTATTTATTATATCCCTCATTTTGCGCACTAAAATGTTGAATGAAGAACAAGTATCAATCGACACAATCAATTCGACCATGACGATTGCAGAAAAAGAAAAGTTCTACAAATGCAGTAATGATACAGGCATGTGTATTTCGTACATGTTCAAACAAGAAAACTTGATTGATACAGTTACAAGTCTAATTTCATGGTGGACTGGACTTACATTTATATTTAACAAATCAATATTTGCTCTCCATCAAGGATTAAAGAAAATGTATCTGAGAAGAAATCGATGGATTCCGCTACGATACCAAATAACAATGAGTGGATTTTCTAAAACTCTTAATGTAATATTTTTTATCCTCTTCATAATTGTTGAATTTATTAATCCAACATTTTATGATAAATTTTGGAAACCTTTCATAGTAAGCGGAATACTTATATTTTGTATAATATCTAGTGCTTCAGCTGAATTTATTGAAACATGGATGAATATGAATGTTGATGAGCAACGTCAAGTGATTAATGAGAAACAATTGAATGCTATTCGACCAGTTGTTATTCTTGAAACAATTCAGCCTGAAAGTGTTTTGAAAACATTAGTACGTCAAATGGAACCAATGATATCGATTTTCGTTCAACATCGAACATAATCATCGGTGAAATATGTCAACATATTCCTTTTTTGCTTTATGGAACAAAACGAGTGAATCGACAGTGGCTCTCATATGTACAAAAAAAACATTTGAGAGGATGAGTGTCAGTGAAGGTGTGGGTTTTCTATTCACTCACACCTCAACATCTACAACTCATCTTTTATTGTTTTTTATTTTGTTCTTAATTTTTTTTGCCATTTAAAATTTTTTTTTCTCTGTGTTTAAAAAATGTAATACAGGTGCCTAATGAGTGTTTACTGTAATAGATAACAAGTAATGTATCGGTGAATAGAACTCTTCATTTGTGTGATGGATAAAGATCAGCGGGTTCAAATTTTTTAGCCTCGAAACGCGAATTTTTTTCTATTTCTACCCGATCTAGACTCCGGTCGCGAAAAGCCCCAATTTTTTTCTCCTAAGCAACTGATATCTAATATGCACGTCATTATGTTGACGGAGAAATGTAGACAGCGGTGTAGGTGGGTATGAGGGTTGACGTGGCTATAGTTATAGATAGTATTCTTCTCTTCACACTTGCACTCACACCAACATCCACATCTGCACCTATCCTGGCAGGGAAATTGGGTTCGGCAATCCCAAAAATCCGAAACCGAATTTTTAAAATTCCTTGGAACCGAAACTATGGAAAAAAAGACATTGAAATCGTTAAAGGAGACAGAGATCTTAAATCATGAGATAGATACAAAAATTCTTAAATCTATGTAGAGAAATCTTCATTTGTTTCACTCTTAAGATTAAAGATTTTAGTATATATGTATATACATAATATTGTTTTCGTTAATACTAAAATATGTGGCATCTTTCATCTCAGCAATTCAATAGTAAAAATTTCTCAAAATATATTTAAAATTTTCGTATCTACCTGATAATTTAACGACTTCAGCTTCGAGTAAATTTTGGAACCGTTGAAGTCTATAGGAAGACCGACACCAATATCCAAATCTACTCCAACAACCTTAAATTCTGAGTCTTTGTAAATAAATTATTGAGCTTTTCAAACCATTTACTGTGCTAAAATTAAATTTTTACCAAGCAATAAATCATACTGAACGTTTACAAAAAAATGCTGAGCAATTAAATACAAGCCGTTTAGGTATATAAATAATAAATTATAGTATTCTAAGTAAACATTAAAATACTTAATATTTTTCTTGTTGAAAGACGAAAAAAACTCAATAAACCTAGATTAATTAAGCTTAGAAAAATAGTGTTGAATTTCTGATAACTTGCATTTATTGTAAATCTCTCTCTGAAATTGTCATTTTCGAATGAAATCAAATAATTATCAATTATAATTTACATCATTTTTCTCTTCCATAACATAATTATGAATATTATAAAATACATGAAATTTTACATAAAACTTCAATTTGAAATAAATTTTTGTTGTCAAAATGAACCATTTTCGTCTAAATTGTCTTATTGAATTCGCTGTTTTCCGATCATTTTTCAAATATAAAACGAGGTATGCTATGTTATACAATAACACTTTAATTAGATCGATAACTCCACTTCTAGAGAAGTATTTTCTCTCTTGCAAAGCAGCTTTTTTGTTACTTACATAAGTCATATCTTATTATATATGATCATTTTCAAATACATAGATTTTTCTTCTTTCCTATAAAATATAATTTTTTTTTTTCTTGTTATTTGAAATTTAATTCAAATCATAATTGATAATAATCAAACTATTTCTGTATGAGGAAAATAACCTTTGAAATCTTGAGAAAAGTCTAATTTATTGTGTAATAGTAGACTACCGATTTTGAAGCAATTCATTCGTGTTACATCTCTTGTAAAATTATGCGTTACTTTTTGTTAAGGGATGCCCTTCCCCCCTCAGGAATCGTTTTTCGTTACTCATGGGCCGAGTTGGATGAAAATTTTAGGGAATATGTGTGTTGCGTTACCTTAATTTCTTGCAAATTTTTGATTCATAAGATTTTTGTTTTAACGAGTTATGGACGTATTAGTCCTCAAAATGGTGGTATTCGTAAGGTACCAATTTCTCGGACTGTCGAAGAGGTAGAGAGCTAGCGTTTGTTTTAAATAAAAGAGAAGACCTAAGTCTACAAATTTATATACCGTTTTTTCGAAATTCGATTTTGTTCGGATTTCCGAGACATTTTTCTGCAATAAGTCGGAAATTAGCGCTTTTTGACATCAGTGTTATCCAGTTATCTCGACAAGGAAATCGAATTTCGAAAAAACGCTATTTACATTTCTAGACATAGGTCTCTTCTAGAGTCTGAGAAATCGGTTCCTAACTCTTCAAAAAAGTGATTTTGAGAAAACGAATCAACAAGTTTTTGAGATATGTAAACGAATGTGAATGTGACAAAAGTAATCAGTGTTATGTATATTTAAAATCAGCGTAAAATTCTCTTTTTAAGTGGCATAAATAAATAAAAATATGAAACAATTTTTAATTTCACTATGATTGTCATGACCCCTATACTGCAATTTCGTCATGTATAAAGGACTCTAAGTAGAAACGACTACTTTAATGGTAGAGATGACAGTGAGAGTTTGATAGTGCCATTACAATAGTTTCATTTTGATCAAATTTTGTCGAAAAAGATTTTAGACCAAATGATTGTAATAATGATATACGCTTGTCTCGTACAGATTTTCATCAGATATTAAGAACTATGATTGTTATATACAGCCAGATGTTTTTTCAATAGAAACTTTTATTGATTTATTTCCACAAAAAAAAATGAAAAGCTGGTTTTTTCCACTTGCTATATCAGAAAGTACCCTCTAACTGTGTTCAGCGGATGCGCAATCGAAAATAACCTATATATGTTTGGAATGAGTAAAAATGAATGTAAACTAGCATTGAAAATCGCTCAAAACCTCTTTCTTTGTAGAAAACGGTTCCAAAAATCAGGTTCTGAAAACCTGCAATATTGCTGTAATTAATTGAAATGACAAAATATATATGTATTTCTCATGTGGAACCGTCTACAAGTTTGTTGACCACTGTCACATCTTCGTAACTAAGCAAATTTCTGAAAAAACCTTATGTTTCTACTACTGCTCCCAGAAAACCGCTATTTTCACCGTCAAAAGACATTCACATTGCAATAAATCGCACATAATCTGAAAGAGGACACTTTGGGCTTTCAGTACATGTGCTTATCTCAAAATCGTTTTTTTTTTCAGAAAAATCGATTTTCTGAGGGGAGGAAGCCCCTTAAGATTCATAATCGATATGAAAATAAGCATTGTTTGGTAAATATATTTTAGTATGAACTAAAAATTGTTCCATATAATTTCCATGAGTTCGAAGAAGATCTAGTTCAGTAAGATAAGAATATTTAATGATTGACCATTGTTGATTGTCGTTTTTTATGGTTTCCGATTTTTTAAAGTTAACTTTTTCCTAAATGGAAATGATTTAGCAATTTGAAGAAAAAAAGGATTTTGGTGTAGGCGTTGATCTTCTCTTCGTTCACATCCACATTCATAGCTACAGTCACAGTCACACTCACATCTAAAACTTCCATGGAAAAATGCAGAACACAAAATTGCGGAGGAGAGAAATCGTTCTGCTTCGCTTCCCCCAATCGTACGCTCTTGTGCAGAGCTTGGATTGATGAATATTTTCTAAATAATCTAAAAATACTTTGAAATTAGGCGCTCACAATATTCGTGGCATAATGAATCAGAGATGGGTGATTGTATACAAAAATTCGATCTATAACAAAATTTCTAATTTTTTTTCTTTATCATGGCTGACTTGAAACAGATTATTTCTTACTTCATTTCAGTGAAAATAGAAGATTCTTCTGATTTTGCTGAACTGAAAACAATATAATCGGTTGAAGGTATGCATTTATTTTTCTCGTATTCTTATTAAATCTTCTTCTATAATAGAAGACGTATCAAGGAGATCCATTCATAGTAATTTTGTTTTTTGCCTAAATTTTCAATAAATTCGATGAATCTTAATAGATAAAAGCCCACGGCTTTTCAATATAAGAGTAGATTTCAGTTTTTTTGCATTCAATATATGACAAGATGAAAACTCATTCTTATGAATGTAACTTTATCGAATTAAAAATAATTCATTGTTGTCCAGTGAGTAACACATGCCTAAGAAGACGTACTAAAGAAATTTTGTACTTGCCTAGGTCTCTCTTATCTTTTTAGGAGAAAGTTTTTAAAAACAAATAAACTCTAGTGTCGACAAAGGAACAGAAAGAAAACATGTCAGATTTTTAGTAGAACGTTTTCAGAACAAATAAATCTTTTTAATACCGGCTCCGCTTCATATATTTTTGTTCTGCAAGAAATGTAAACATGTTTACTGACGTCTTTCTTTTCAATCGCAAAATTATGTTGTGTTGTTCTGCTCTAAATCGATCATAATGACGTTAGCAAGCGGAATATGAATCACCTGTTAACGTCAGTTATATACGGGTGAAAAAGAAAATTTCTATCATCGTCACATTTCACATCTAAATACTAAGTGTACATAGACGCATAGTTTGCAATCAAAACTGAAATGCACATAAATTCTACATTTGTCCGAACAAAAATGAAATTTCTATTGTAATCGGACTAGAAGTAAGTTGTTTAACCCTTTACACCCTATAGCGCTTCCAGAAGAGCCACTGATAAAATAACTTTATAGGTAGTGTATTAGCCTGTCGAATATGCCAATGGTGCGGCCTAATCCACAGAATTTCCTGTTCCTGGATTAGGGCGGTTTGATTAATATAAAAATCATGTGGTAGAAGATGAGAATTGAACGACATTACAAGACTTTTTTTTTTCTTTGACCACATTATTGACTGGACAGAACCAGCATCTATCTCTTACTGTTGAAGTGATAGGAAAAACGCAACGAGTGAACCGATAAAAATTAACATCAAAGAATGTATGCTTTTTTAACATCTATTATCAAAAATAAGCCTATTTTACTCTGAGCCATTTTGTAACGTCTGGAGGAATTAAATCCATCATAAATACTATTTCGACTTCTCATGAGTTGAGGTCTGTAACCCATATATTAACTTTGTTCTTGATTTCCCTTCATCTGTCTAACAGTGACTACATGGTCAATTGTGTTCCTTAGTATGTAAAATTCGTGGAGTTATCATGACGCTTTCGAAACACATCTAATTCAGCAGTGTACTTCTTCATCGATTAATATCACACAGAAATTCCAAAAGGCCTCTATCGACTGCAATTTAAGAACATTTTGTTTAAAAAATTTCGAATTTTTGCAGTTTTTTGAAAATTATTAATTTTGTAAGTCATATATCTTGAAGGCAGGGTAATGAAACAAAATATTTTTTTGTCAATCGATAGCTTGTGAAGTTCTCTACAAATAATGTCCGGGGAGTTTTTCAGTCACATGTTTCCTTTATTTTCTGTGATCGTTCTACAAATGGGTCATATATGACCCATTGGCGTGTAAAGGGTTAAGTTGAAAACAGTTACAGTTTAAAATAATAAGGTTGTCGAAGTGGATCTTTTCTTAGTCCACACTCGAACTCCTTGCCAACAAAAGATGAAATTGATACTGGTGACTGACTAGTATAGACTGACTCGGCCTGAGTTAATCAGACTGTTTCTACACCCTCAATACTGGAATTCGAATATTGTCTCGATGAATTCAGAATTGCGCTGCATTCCAATTTTGACCATAACACATACGCTTGAATTTAGATCTGTTCATAGCACAATGCACATCGTCTATCAAATACTTCTGTTCATTGCTTACTTCGTGACGTTCAGTTATTGTCAAGGTGGCGGCGGAGGTGGTGGCGGAGGTGGAGGTGGAGGTGGAGGAGGTACGTATCTTTTCTTTTTGTTGAAAGTCTACTTAATGTTGAAACTATGGATATTTGTTTTAAAATATTTTCTGAATTTTCCATTGAATTTTTATAATGTATCTTCATGTATTTTCTATTTCAGGAGGTTCCGGAGGTGGTGGATACTACGGAGGAAGTGGCGGCACATCCTGCACGACTGATGACTGTCGGCGAAGTTCTGGTATTATCGTGGGTAGTATTTTCGGTGGTATCATCGGATTGGTTCTGTTAATTGTCGGAATCATGTTTGGTTGCAAATACTGCAAAGGCCGACCACTTCGCAAAAATTCAACGTTCGTGAAATTCGCAAAATCAAAAAATCTCAAACACGAATCGGATGATATCAATCATTTTGAGTCAGGCATCTGGTTGAGTCGATATTTTCAATATGGAAACTGGCATGGACCTTATCAATTGACACTCTCGTTTGATCCTCAATCGATGATAATAACAGGTTCAGGATCGGATGATGTTGGTAGCTTTACTATTCATGGTACTTATTCAATTGAAACACGTCGAATGGGCCTCAAAAAAACATATGAACAAGGTACTGGTAATGGATCAGAAAATTTAGGCCATCAGGTAATTATTCAACTGACGTTGAATGCACAAAATGATGTGTTTGATGGCAAGTGGTATGTTCAAACAAGTAAATATCATGGCGAAGATAAGTTTGAACTTCAATTTCATAGAGGACAAGAACTTTCAACATATGAGAAAGTATAATCCTAATATATTTCTTATATTTTTTTTTGTGTAACTATACAGAAATTCCAACCGATCAAGAAAAATAAATCATGATTGATAGGGTGTTTACTAACATATTGCTAAAATGAAAACTAAATTATACGAATTTACAGTTACTTGCACTACTCATGACAGATTTAGGCAATCGTTATTAGTGGGTTTTGTGATTAATAAATTACTTTAAATGAGTTAAATGTACTAGAGGAATGTTACATTGTTATTAGTTTTCTATTGGTAACTGAAAATCATTAATATTGTTTTGAATTAAACTTCATAAAGCATCGTATATCAGTTGACTTGGACAGCATAACATTTGTTTGTATGAAACTTTGCCAATACAATTTTGTTTTCCGTTGTTTTTAGTTTTCGATAAGAAACACATTGCTAAGCTGTTCGTTTTGCATTTATTGTAGACAATCAAGTTAAATTTCTTTTTATAAAAAATTAATAAAACAAGAATGATAAAATTACACAAAAAAAGAGTAAGGTAATGCAAAAAGCTCAACAACAATATATTTTTGATTATTTTCTATAATATTAAGTAGTTAGCTCAAATCTAGATAGAGCTTTTTACAGTCAATGGAGTTTTCTATCTAATACATTCTATACCAAGATTTCATATATGAACTATGATGGCAAATGGATATGGCGATTTTCACGCCTCAGAAGCTATTATTAACAAGGATATTTTAAAGAGCATAACATTTTGAACTAAATAAAGGGTGTCTGTATTTTCTACGATCTCTTCTTAAAGAGTTCAAAGTACCAGAAAAACCAAAAAAAGGCGTTTTTTAGTCGAGTTTTTGTGATATTTTTAACTTTTTGAGAGAAGGTAATAGAGAAATGTGACGACCTCTTATTTTGTTCGAAAGTTTTTGCTCTTTAAAATAACATTGTTAAAAAATAGCTTCCGATACCTGAGAACTATGATGCCCATTCGCCGTTATAGTACATCGCTGAAAATCTTGCTCTAGAATACATTAGATAGAAAACTAGATTAGTTATAGAAATCATTATCTGGATTTGACCTAGATGCTTGACATTATAGAGAAAAAAAAGTCAAAAAATACATTTTTGTTAAACTTTTTCCATCATTTTAGTTTAACAATAAAGAAAAGGATATGTTTGGTTTCAGTCTTACTTTCAATGCGAATTATTTGATACTCATCTTTTCATAAAGCATCATGTTAGTTAAAGATATCCTGCTATATTCTACAAAATTAGAAGAAAAACAAAGAAAAAACAATGCAGAAGATGATATTTCTGAGATATGAACATATTTAAAGCATGTATAATCGAGTTATACTTTTTATTGTATCAAATTTTCAAAAAATTTTTTTGTCGACAACAATTTAATCATTGTTACACGAATGTTTTCTTTGAAAAATGTTTAGCACTTGTTGATAATGATAAATAAAAGTCATACGTTCATGTCAAAATATATCTTAATGACTAATGCAAAACGAATTAACTTTTCATTCTGTAATGAAAACATACATCTTTTATGACGTTTTTATGCGTCAAGAAACTCTTGAGTATACCTTACTACGTCATTTTCAAAGATAAAACTACACTTCATTTTGTCTTATGTACATGATAAGAAAGTGTAAGTGTAAATAATGAATCAGGTAAAGATATCAATGATTCGTTTCTTTATAGCAAACATTTATTTGTTTATAAACCTATTGAATATCATTGCAAAATATAAAGTGAGTTAACGTGTTTGAATACATAATTGTTGACAACATAATGAATTTAGTCTATCGTGCGCTTCTTATTATCATCTGTCTAGGAATCAGAGCCGAATGTCAAGGTGGCGGCGGAGGTGGTAGCTTTAGTGGAGGTAAAAATTCTGATTTTTTAAATTAATTCATTACATTATTAAAATAAAATATTGAATTATATTTCATATTTCAGGTAGCTTTACCGGAGGAATTTTTTACTACGGGAATGCAGGTGGTTCGTGTAAAGGCAATAACTGTTCTGGTAGCACATCTGTCGTGTTAGGCATCCTAGGTGGTATTATTGGATTGGTTTTGTTAGTTTGGGGTATATATTATTGTGTAAAATCCTCAAAAGGTCGGCCATCACAGACAAATGTAATATTTGTGCAAAAGGAAACTAACCAAAACTATGAACTAGAGAAATCAGACATCAATATATTCAAATCTGGTTATTGGAAAAGTCAATATTTTCAGTATGGAAATTGGCATGGATCTCATCGATTTTCGCTTACATTTAACGATCTTTCAATGAATATAACAGGATCCGGATCAGATGATGTCGGTACATTTACTATTCACGGTACTTATTCAGTTAAAACACGTCGAATTGGTCTTACAAAAACATATAAAAAGGGTACCGGTAATCCATCACAAAATTTAGGACATCAAGTCACGATTCAACTGACGTGGAATGCACAAAATAATCAATTTGAAGGGAAATGGTATGTTCAAACAAGTAAATACTATGGTGAAAATAAATTTGAACTTAAATTTGATGGACAACATATACAAACTGTATATGAAAAATTATAATAGACTCTTTCTTGGTCTTAATTGTATATTTTCCATTCATTGAATTATTTAATAGAAATTATTATATTTCAAAAAAAAAGTGACGGAATAGACCAGTAGAGGTAAAACTCGTATCGTAGTTTATTAAATAAAATATCACTATCCACAGATAGCTCTGTAAAATAAATTGAAAATTTTAGTTACTAGCTCATGATCAAAGTAAACGAAATGCCTAATTTTTTCGATTAATTCTCTACATTGTTATTATTTGATGTAGAATCTATACCACAGATGCATTGATTAATACTCTATATATTCGCAAAGTTTCAGCCACAAATGACGAGAAATAAATGAGAACATTACAACTATATTTCATGTACTCGAGTATGCCATGTAATGAGCATTTCATTAAAAGATGAAAAGATTCATGATGTTTTTATATGCAATGGTCGCTTTGAGCTCATAGCGTAGAAACAAAAATCTTGAAAGAATTCGTACCATTAAATCTTTCTTGTCGACTTATAGTCATTTTGTTGAACATTCAGCCTATTGGAGGATATCAATGGAAAAATCGCAGCAGAAAATATCGGTCTGAAATTTTTCCTAACAATAGCTTTTATAGTCCTTATGATGTTCTGAAAATTTTCGCTCAAACGGATGATTTCTTCTTCAGATTTTACTCAAGTACATGGAATACAGTTGTAATTTTCTCATTTATTTTTCGTCATTTATAAGTAAAAATTTGCATGAAATAAGAGTGATGGTTAAGAGAAGATTCACATCAAAATTAAACTATTTGTATATACTGACACGATACAGTAAAAGAACAAGGAAAAACTTGTTCTTGCAAATATTTATTTATATGCTAAATATAGAGCACTTCATTATGTATGTTGCCCCTGTAAAACATTTGCAATCGATTAGGAGGCATTCATGCTAAGCTCCTATTTATTGAACATAAAAACACTTAAAAAAATAATAAAAAGAAAACGTTGTTTTTCTTCTATTGACGATTATTATTTGGATTTACTTTGTTAAAGACGTCGAAAAACAGTAGAATCTCATTAAAGACACTGTAATTTTTCAAATATAACTAGAACAATTTAGATAAACTGAACCTTACAAAATAATCATAGTTAATTATAAAAAATAAAAAACACTGCATATCCATATTCAAATGTAATATGCATGATATATTATCATTAGTATTTTTCAAACTACGATTTTATTTAAAAAAGAACGAGAACAAAAATATTTGATAAAAAATCTATATAATCAAATGTCATCAAGCAATATAATGAAAGAAATATTTATATACCACAGTCTAATGATATTCATTAGCAATATGCATGAAAAAAATATTATTACTTGTGTAGCCCAATCAACCAATTATTTTGCACTTCTATTAGTTTCTTTTATTCATTATATTAAAAAGAATTTACCATATATTGACAAAAGAAAATCCTTTAGACACTAGTGCTAATGTAATGTTACGACCTTGTTAGCATTGAATGAGTTTATTTTGACTCACATCTGCTCATTCAACGTCCTTGTTCAAAAGAAAAAAAAGATAGTATAATTTCTTTTTCTTTTCTCTGTTGAATGGTAAAGCATATGTTAATTCTTTGTATGTCATAGGCAGACGAGCGATGGAAAAAAAGAAAAAAAAAGTCGTCAATACTGTCTATGAAATTTTTTTCTCTTTGTGCTTCTGCTTATTGCTAATTTTGGTTGGAACGTGATCGCTTACAAAAAGAAAAAGCGACGAGGTCCTATAAATGGAAAATTCGTTTGTTCATTCTAACAGAGAAACAAGAGAGAGAAAGAAAGCGCTCGCGCGCTAACTTTTTTTTTCTCTTCATATCGAACATCAGCTGAAGAGTGTAGAAGAAAAAGAGGAGGACTCTCTTTTATATTTGAACAGCAAAAGAATAGAAAAGCATCGTATTATAACTACGCATATCGTGTCGAGTATAGATCGAAGTCGCACGTTTTCTCGTTCTAGTGTATTTTGTTTCACATGTCAAATCTTTTATCGTAAGTTAAAATATTTAAAAACAAATCATAAATTGATATCTTTTTTTCTTCTAGTTTTTCATCGATGGCTACTATGCTACAAGCATCTAATATTGTTTGGCAAAGTGTTAGTCTAACTGATGAACTTAAAATTAATCTTGAATATGATATTCATCGTGGTTTACTTAATATTTTTGTAAAAAATACCGGTAATAATGACGAATTACCATGTCATATTAATATTCTATCGAAACAATCTGAAGACGATTGTGAATTAATATCAGATTCTAATAATAATAATAATTATCTAATGTCATCTGATATACAGCAAGGTTTGTATATATATATATAATTTATTATTATTGATAATTTGTTTTGTTTTAATTATTATATTAGATCTAACAAACGTCATATCTGATAATGAACTAAAAATTTGTTATGAAATATCAACCACTTATGTTTATGATATAATCGATGAAAATGAAAATATCGATCAAATTGATTTTAGTCAAACAATGAATTCATCATCACCATCATCATCATTCTATTGTGATGAACAGACAATGGATAATGATGATGGATATTCAACACATTCACTTGATGATATTGAACAACCCCAACCACAACAACAACAGTCTATAGCGATTCCTTCATCTAAATTAATTGTACCGTCCTTTTCCTCTCTACATCATTATTATTATTCTGAACAGTATGTTTCACCTGTCCGTCAGCTAATTGAACAACTGACATGGTTAAGTCCATTTAAAAAAACTGTGCAACAAATGATGATGAATCATATGTTCGAATGATTTAATGAATTCATCATTATTAAGAAGTGACATGTATCTGTATGTTTCTATGTGTGTTTCAATGTGTGAGTGTATTTTGTATGCGCATGTAACTTTGGTCAATATTATGTTTTTTTGTTGGATTTGAGTAGTCATACGGAGGTGGTAAATTATTAATATATATATATATGAGTCATCAACATCGTCGCCATGTTTTCAATTAATCGGAAATGAAGCAGAAAAGTGAAAGAAAGAAAAAACTAATCCTGTCTGTTTGTCATGATCGATTTTTGAGCGAAAAAACAATATTTAACTATTTATTTTTCTCTTCTTCAATTTTACAATTTTTTTTTCTTTTGCAGATTGTATTACCCATTTTGAATGTACTTTCATTATTATATATACAGGTGATTTAGCTTATTTCCATTTATTGTAATGAATAAATCCGAATATATATATGTTAATGAACATTTAATATCACCATCATTAATATGTCCTATTTGTTTAAGTATTCTTGAAGATCCACATACGCATATAACATGTGATAGTGCATTTTGTCGTTCATGTTTATTACAATTAGTTGAACCTAATTGTCCAATATGTCGTTGTTATTGGGATTATACATTACCTATTGAATTTAATACAGATTTACCAAAATCAAGTCGACTTATTCGTAATATGCTTGATGAATTGCTTGTTGAATGTGTTCAATGTCATGCAATTCATCGTCGTGGACAATTTAAACATGATTGTCAACCCATGAAAGATTCTTTATCAATTAAAACTCAAAAATGGGAAGGATTTCAAATCCTTCTATCAGCTTTAGTAATTTTTCTATTGATTTTAACAATTTATTACAATCGAAATTATGTTTTTGAAACAGCTGTCGATCGTCATAATGAATTAATTAAAGAAATAGGTATTGATATTGATAAATATTTATTCAATAAAATTTACTATTTAATAGTTAAAATTATTGAATATTCAATGCCTGTATTTCTATTTAATATATTTCTATGGTTGGTTATATTATTTTATGGTGATCGATTTACATCGAAAACAACTAGTCACATACTGAAAAAAATTATTGAAATATCAATTATTGTTAATCTCATAGGACATTCGCTTTATTATTAATATATATATATATGTGCAAAAAAGAAGAAAAAAAAATTCATTTCATTTTATGAAATATAGGCAATAAAATGTTTTTTTTTCTTTTGTTTTGTTTTAAAAAAAAAATAAATCAATCCAAATCCATTGCATTTATAAAATCTTGCTGAGCTTGTTTTGCTTTTTGAAGAAGATTTTCACGATCACGAGCATAACTAATAAGTAATTCATTGAGATTATTGGTAACGGAAGAATGTTGTTGCTGTTTTTGTTGTAATTTATTATTATTATTATTATTATTATTTAATACATTCATTATATCATTTGATGGTATCGCTGGTTTAGAATTGAGAATAGATTTTAAATCAAAACCTTCGTCATATGGAATATCAGCTGCAGAGCCATATCGAGGTGGTAAGTAATAAAAACTCATAGTCAATGAAGATTTGCCTTCTTTAATCATTTGATTATCGTTAGTAATTGTTTTTTCGACCATACAGTTCATATTGGTCAATGTTGGAGTTTTGCACTCTAAAGTAAAGATCATGAATTTTGAGTATAAAAAAAATAAAAAATACGAATATAAATATTGTTTCTCTTTGGAAAAAAATCTATGACACAAATTTTTATTGATTTTACCTACCATGTGATTCAAACGTAGGTGGAATTGGTATGGATGACGCATCACATAAAATTTCAAAATCATCGTCATCATATGTATAAACTCTTTCTGCCATTTGCAGCAAAAAAAACGTCACCTGAGCTTGTTTTTCGTAGTTAGGTAAAATAAAGTATGATTCAAAGTTTTATACTCAACTTCCAATGACGCAAAATATAAAAAGAAAAAGCAAAGACATTTTTCTATGTGTACTCAGCGTTTCTTTTCTGTTCTGTCTCTTAGTCATCAAACAATAAGAAAAAAAAAGAACGATAGCAGCGAGTAGTTTCGATCTACCGACCTCTGAGTTATGAGCCCAGCACGCTTCCACTGCGCCACGCTGCTGTGTTTTACTATAAACCTATTTTTAAAGTGAATTTAATAAGTACGATATCTCGAGTTCTATTTTCGTAATTTAAACTATATACTATTAAATTCTATAAGATAACCAATATTTTATTGTGTTTCGAAAAAAAAAATATTCAGAATAAAAATGTATTAAGAAAGAATAGCACAATCGGGATGACATGTTTTAATACAATCATCTGGATATTTTTCATTAAAAATTCGACAAAATCCATAAGCTTTTTGCATTAAACAATCATCTCGTCTATCAATACATTTTTCTTGTTGTATATTTTTTATTATTGTTGTTGTACTCGATATTATATTGGTGTCTTCAATCAATGCTGAAGTATTAAATAATGAAGAAATATCTTTTAAACGTTGTACAGGTATACATTGACCACATGAACGTTGGCATGCTTGAGGTACAGAAAGAAAATCATTATCAACAAGTATTGTATAACGATTATCACAATATTCATTACGTAATTGATAGATCGAACAATAAGAACTTTTATCATAACATGAAACACCTTTTGAAATATGAAAATTTACATTTGATTATTTTCTCATTGATAAATACTTACATTGATATTGATTTCCTATTTGTTCACATCGTTCGTTTGATAAACATGGATTAGTAGCGCATGCATCTGCATACTAAAAATTCATTAGAATAAATAAAAACAATTACAGAACGAATCTACAAGAAAAACAACGTATTACTTGACAACGATCACCAAATTTGCCTATTGGACATACACAAACAATAGTATTTTGTGTAGCTGTGCAAATACCGCCATTACATGATGTTGGCGAGCAAAGTGTTGCTAAAAAAAGGAATTTATCTTATCAATCCCTTTCAGGTTTTTCTTTTTCGTTCTTGCCTTCACAATAACTTCCTGTAAATCCTTGAAGACAAAAACATTTTGTAGACAATGTTCCATTTGTATTATATCGACCAAAACAAGTACCACTATTCAAACATGGATTTTCATGAAGACATGGATTTTCTATTACACAAGAAAAAAAATATTTATTCGTTTTTTGTTTTTGTTTTTCTTTCTAACTTACCATATTCACATAATGGTCCAACATATCGTGGTGTACATATACACATTCCATTTATACATGAACCACCATTCATACATGCTACTAAACAACTACCATTCATTTGTAGATTAAGTGGTATTTCACAATATTGTCCAGTATATGAACTTGAACAAGTACATGAAAATGAAACACTTGTTGTATTAGAAACAACTGAACAAATACCATCATTTTGGCACACTTGATGATAACATGGATTATCTGATTAGTAAAAAAAAACTTAATCATAAATTTTTCAAGTAAGAAAACTATTTACCAAATCCACAAAATGTTCCTGTATATTGAGCTGAACAAACACATACTCCATTATTACACGGACTTCTACAAAAAGGAAACACATTCAAAAAATCTCTTAACACAATTTCTGCTGGATTAAACGGTAAAACATCATATAGCTGCTCTTGCTCATCACAGGGAGACTGTCTCAGGAAATATTTTTTCATCATTGCTCTACTTAATCTTTCAATAATGCAATAGAAGATGTTGCTGAGTTGTTTATGATAGTCTCTGGCTAGCGTCTGTCATGGTCTGTGTGTTGAGGGAAAGGAGGAGAAAATATGCATTTCTGCCTAATGGTATAAATAACTATGTTGCAATCTTCAAAGAAATGGAAAAACCAATTGTCCAAAACTTAGCCTGAAAAAGGTGATGTCATCGGGAAAATCTATACCTGACAAAAATGAAACTGTTCGCCAGACAAATCAGGTACATTTTCTGCATCTTCAAGCCGAGACCTACATAATGGTAAAAAGAATTCTTTTTAATTTGCATGTTTAACTTCTGAGAAACAAAATAATGTTTTTTTCCTACAGCGTCGTTCGAACGGCTAGTTTCGTAAAATGATCAATATACCCGTCAAAATGTTCTTCTATTTACTGTTTCTAATCTGTGTTAGCATAAACATTTCTGAACTGCACAATGAGTTTCCAAAAAATCTAGCTTTTTGCCTTTGAAAAAATATTTAATCGACAAAAATAGTATATTCAGAGTTAGTGCACTAAATTGCGTCGAAAAACTTTTTTCTCTAAAAAACAGTGCTTTTCTGCGTCATATCCAATTACTTTTGAGCAAAGAAATACGTTATAGAGCTAGAAAGTAACATACCCATCTGTCATGCGAAAAATCCACACTGTAGGACTCCCCCTCCCCTCCCAAACTTGTATCCCTATACTTCAATACTCCTTTTAGATCGTGTCACAGTAGACAAAAAGCGTAGACATTTGATTAAAAAAATAGAAAGAGATATTCTTTTTTGCGGTTTGAATAATGTCAATGTATACTTTGACCAATGGTCGACTTTTTGATTCAAACAAAATCATTTTTGCTATTTAAGGATTTGGAAAAATTCTAGTCGAAAAGTTGATAAGTGTCTGTCTTCTCAGAAGAAAATAGAAAGACATAAGGAATAGATCGTAGAGCTCTTGTTCTATCGTTCTATATAAAAAAACTTTGTTCTAATAGTTTTTCTGTTGGAAAAAGTTTGCATGTTTTTTCAACTAAGTGTGTTTTTTCTTTGTCTAATAGATCTGTTCAATCAGGAGACAGATGCATAAATGCTTTTGAGCTGTGATACAGGTTCTTCAAGAACCCGTGGATTTTTAACGCTTTACGTATTCTTTTGTCTCGGAAATACTGTAAGAGAGAAATAAGAACATATCTCTCAAATCATCACAAAAAGTCTGTACCGAATAATGAAATATTTTTGTTAGTTTTTAAAGTAAAAATTTTTCTGACGAAAGCTTAGGGCAAGAGTTCCTTCATGCATTTTCTTTATGTAAAAAAATGCGTTTTTTAATAGAAAATAAGCTATGTCCATGTGTTCTATAGAATTTGTTCATTCTGCATATTTCACAAGAAAAAACAAAATATTTACCCATTCATACATAATCCTCCGCAAGGATTAAGCAAAGATGTTTCACATCTATTTCCTGTATAAGTTCCAACACAACGACAATTAAACCATGTATCTGTTGAATTCCAATTCGCTTGACATATACCTTGGTTTGAGCATGGCGTTGATAAACATGGATTATTTTGTTCACATTTTTCACCAATAAAATTCTCTTTACATACACATGTATAAGTTTTATTTGATGTTGATAATGCACAATAACCACGTGTTTGACAAGGATTACTAGCACATGGATCACTTTCTTTTAATATTTCACAATATGTACCTGTAAATTCTTCTCGACAAAGACATGAACTTATAGGTGGATCAGTATTGGATGATACACATGTACCACCATGATAACAAATCGATGATGATAGACTACATGGATTATCTATATAAAAGCCAAGAGAAAATCAATGTTAGAAAATTAATTTTCAATTTACCATATTGACAAAATGTGCCAACTTTATTTCCTGCACATGTACATACAGGTCCTGTAGGTTGTTCACTACAAATTTTATACGCTGGACAAACCATATTTGAACAAGAACTAATTGCTAACATTAAAAAAAATATTATAAAAAAAAAGAATCGTAATAGAAAATTTTATATTTACCCGTATCACAATTTTGTCCATAAATACCTGGTGGACAAACACAACGATAAGCTGACCAACTTGTGCCGGTGTCAACGAGTAATGTCGTACAGCCACCACCATTCTTACATGGAGAAATTGCGCAAGAATCTCCTAAATAATTCATTGAATTTCAATAAAAAAAACTAGATTAGATAATCAAACTTACGTAAATTGCAAGTCGGACCCGTAAAACCCGCTTGGCATAAACATTCAGCCATTGTTGGAGCTATTTGTCGACATGTACCACCATTCTGACACGTACTCACCGAACACACTGAAGCTAAACAAAATAAAAATTTCATTTTAATCAATCAACAAAAAAGGAAACAATTTATTTTTATTTACTCCATTCACAACGTGGTCCAGCATAATTCGTCGAACATATACATTGAATATTCGTACCATTATGATTACATATGCCACCGTTTAAACATACATTTGAATTACACGTTAAACCCAAATCTATTTAAATCAAATAAATAATATGATTTTTCAAAAATTTGTATTCTTACATATTGAACAATCATAATGTCCATAACCCGGTGAACAAAGACACATAAAATTATTTTGTGGGCCAAGTGCAATACAAGTACCTTGATTTAAACATGGTTGTTTTTGACAAGTATTTGTAAATTGACATCGATCACCTGTTAAATAATTTGGACAAATACATTTATAACTTGGAGGATTTGTATTTTCTATTTGTTGGCATGTTGATAAATGACGACATGGTGAACTAGCACATGAAGTTAATACACCTAAAAAAGAGCAAAAACTGTTAGCACAATTCCTGCGGCATTAAAAGGTAAAGCACGATATAGCTGCTCTTGTTAAGCACAGAAAGATTGTTGTAGGACACATTTCTTCACCATCATTTTATTTAATCCTTCAGAAATGTAATAAAGAAAAGTAGTTCATGTATTTTTACGAAACACTATTCATATAAAGTCTTTTATCATATATTAACAACGTCTATTACAGTCTGTGGGAGAATCTAAAATTTCACTACTATACTTCAACACTCCTTTTCTAATCGTATTTCACAAAAGACGAATAAATAACAAGAGATTAAAAAATATATTTACTAGAATTGCATGATTGTCCAATTAAACCATTTGAACAAATACAATAATAAGATGATATAGATGTTTGAATGCAAGTACCCTCATATCCACAAGCTTGTCGTGAGCAATCATTGATAGATAATAATGGTGTTTGACAATATTGTCCAGTATAACCTTGAGAACATAAACAATATGCCGTACTATTACCAGATGATGCATCAATAAAGCAAACTCCATTATTTGAACAAAATGTATTTGTACACACTGTTTGAATTGTTTCACATCTTTGAAAGAAATTGTTTTTTTTTTTTCGGAAAATAAAAATTTTATTAAAACTTTCAACTTACCGACTACCAGTCGTATTCGATGGGCATTGACAATATGAAATATTAGTTTCTTCATTTATCAAGCAAGTTCCACCATTCAAACACGATATTGTTGAACAAGATGTATCTTTTTGTTCACAATAGACACCAGTTGTACCATTTAAACAAATGCAATTAATTGGACATGTTGTTGAAGAGCAATTCATCGTAGATGAAATACATTGAGCATTATTTTGACATGGTGATGATACACAACCATTTACTAAAAAATCAAATTTGAAAATTTTTATTCTTTTACGATAAATTAATTAATTCTAAAGATTAGTTTTCGAATCGAAATCTTTAATTTTAAATAATATCACTTACAATATTCACATCGTGTACCCATATAACCAGTTTGACATTCACATCTATATCCACCATCATGTATATTTAAATTTCGAATGCAACTAGCATTATTTAAACAAGGATTTGGTGTGCATACATTTATAATTAATTCACAATCAGTACCACCATATGGTGGTATGCACTGGCATGAATAAGTATTGGATGATATTGAACAACTGCCATTATTTTTACATGGTCTACTCCAACATGGATCTGCACCAATTTCACAATTTATACCTATTTTAATTTAGTTCTTTTTTTTATATTCAAAAAAAAATTAGTTTTAATAATAACCTGTTGTATCACTTGGACAAAGACATGAATAACCACAAATTTCTTCGAGACAATTCGATGATGTTATGCATGTACCTTGGTTACATGGATTTGATAAACAACTATTAACTGTAAATACAAATCGCTAAAAATTAATTTCTTCTTCTCTTTTCTCTTACTCATATCACATCGAGTACCAATATAACCATTATGACATTGACATTGAAAATCTCCATCTATTGCTTCAGTACAATTTCCATTAATACAAGGATTTGATTGACATACATCATTAATGATTGTAGTACATTGATCACCACTATAACCATTTAAACATGTACAATTTGGTGTATCACATGATGTGTTCATGCAAACAACTGTGCAGAGACCATTATTATAACAATAATCATTACACGGATTTTCTAAAAAAAAAAGAGATTTTACTATTTGTAAGTCAAATACTTATCCTGCTGTATTGTCAACAAACCTAATTGACAAAATTTTCCTCGATAAAGATCTGAACATGAACAAGTTCCATTCATTAAACAGGCACCTCCATTTACACATTGACATGTATTTAAAATATTAATATCAGGTGTAAATAAGGGTGTTTGACAAAGTACGCCTGTATAATCAGTTTTACATTGACAGATAAATTGACTTCGAGATATTTGAAGACAAATTCCATTTGATGAACATGAATTTGTTTCGTTTTGACAAGAACCTAAAATAGAATATTAAAATAAAGTTTCAATAAAAATAATCGAACCGTTTATAAGTGCCGATATAGGTGAACTAGTAGTTGTTAAAACAGAATTTGTTGAGTTTGAAATGCAGGATAAAGATGATGACGATGGAAAACAAGTACATTGTCCCACATTTGATGTTATCTCTTGTAAACATGGACATGATTTTGTTGTACAATTTGCTGTTAAACAGCCAACTAAATTTAGAATTTTTCTTTCTCTGATGAATATTAAATCATTTTCTTACTTGAAATACAATTTATTAAATTTATACTTGGTGTAAGTGATTTACGAAAAAAATGATCCTGTGGTTTAAAACTAATTGTATCGTTAAGTAATGTATAAGAACCCATTGAGAACATTAGATACACATCTGATGTAAAACTAATATCATCAACATCTCCTGTTGTACTGAGTCGTTCAAATGTTGCATAAACATTTTGACCAGTCATATTAGTTTGAATAACACAAAAATCTTGTTCATCATCAATCGATGGTATCACATACCCTCGAGAATATCTCCAATGGAAATAAATAAAAACAAAAGTAACTTATTTCAAAACATTTTTTCTATGATACCTATCTTGAATTATTTGAGTTTCAGGAAAAAACATTGCTATATCCATATTATTCTAATAACAAACAAAAATATACTTTTAAATAAATTTTGAAAAAAACACACAAACCATTGTTACTGCTGTATCAGACCATCCAATAGCAATATAAGTAGATGTAAGATTAATGCTTGAATTTGCTTGACCTATTAAGATTAAATAGAAGAATTATTTATGAACTAAATAAATACATATAATAAATTTACCTTGAATGATAAACTGAACAGTATTCGAATTGATATTATATCTCCATGAAATTGTAAATGAACCAATAGTTATATCTTGAATAGTCCATATCCCACCAGAACATTGACTTTGTACATCTATAGTACGAAAGAAAATAATCAAAAAAAAACATATCTGTTTTATTCTTCGTAGTAAACGTACGTTTAATAATTTGAATAATTAATAATAATAATAATAGCAAATATGAAAGATGTCTCATCTAAAAGCAAAAAAAATCCGTATATTCATACAAATGGCACAATGTTCATCCTCTTTATTCTTCATTGTTCGATGAGAATGAACAGTGATTGAAATCGGTTAATTTTGTTCTTTTTTTTTCTTGACTCACTACATGAACTACTACTATTGTACATACACATCTATTGAAAATGAAGAAAGAGAAAAAAGAATTGTAAAGAAAGCGAAAGAAGAACAAAAGTGAACGATAGACATGAGTTCATCGAACTTCCATACACTATACTCGCCTTCATCAATAATCTTGCTTTTGTGTTGTTGTTATTGATATATGCTTCTATTTTACCTTGCTTTTCTTTTCTATATGAAAGATATAAAACCTATTAAGTCATATTGGATGTCTCATCAAAATCAGATTTGACAATATAGTAGGTGTTATTCTGTCAGGCATATGTTTATTATGGTACAAATCCTTTTATTGATGCTCAAATTTGTAAAGAATATTCATCATATTAATCGATATCATTATCGTTTTATTAGAGAAATTTGATTTAGTAATAAAAAAAAAAACTTATTTTACGATATATCTTGCTGATTAAAAATGAAATAGACATAGTCTATATCTATATATTACGAATATGATAAAGAAGACAGAATTGATAAGAATTTTATTAAATAAGATCATTACTTTCATGAATATATTGAGCACAACGAAATAATAATTGAACATCTTATTCTTTTAGTTTCAGATTTCTGTTTATCGTCTGAGCAAAATTAGAGTGAGTTAACCTATAACAGATATAATTTTTCTATTTACATAATCGTCTTTTGTATGACAAGAAACTTTTTATAAGAAAAAAAAAAGTAGACAGGTCACAATGTATCATGAAAGAAGGATCGACATGTAAGCACTATATTGTTCCTTTGCTGTATATAAAACATTATAAATTCTTCACAAAATATTGACATGTATGTTGAAATATGCATCAATTGCAATTAAACAAAAACTTGTTCATCAATGATATTGATTATGCTATTTGATATTGTCCTGAGCTTTATAAATCTAATTTGAATAAACTATCTGTGCTTTCCCTCCTTCTTGTTCATATATTCAATTAACATTTGTATTTTTTTTTGTGTTTCATCTTGCATCATGAAAGAATTCTGATAAGCATACATTTTTTTTTGTTATTTCTAATGAGTCCAATCATCTTGGAAGAAATTGATAACAATCATACAAATATACGGATAGTACTGATCGGCGATTTTCTTGTCTTCCCTTTCGGTTTTTTTTTGTTGTTGTTCATAGAGAATCTGATGTATTACACAATAAGGAAAGGACAGTTATCAGTGCATATAAGATGTATATGCATGGCTGCAAAATGTCATGATGTAATCAATCTTTTGTTGCTTGTTTATCATAATAGAACAACAACAACAATACAGTACGATTACTCGATGACCTTGACTAATTTACTTAGATTTTTTATTTTTTCAAATAATCAAAGAAAAAAACTGCAAGTTAAATATTATTAATATCAATCATTGCTTAGTAACGACAATAACGATGATGATAATGATCATGATGATGATGATGATGATGATGATGATGATGATGATACGCACAATTAGTTAATTGTATATACAAAGTGTTGATGTATGTTTATACTAATAAGACGAAGTTGAAAAAGATTACATACAAACTATTCTTATTCTTTCCATCATTTTGATGTTTTTACTAAACGATTATGAAATTTGTTTGTGCTTTTGTATTTGGGTCAGTTTACTTTATAAATATATACATATCTATCACTATCCTAGTAGGGCTTCACGCTATCCATTGATCGATGCCTACAGGGAAAGAGAAAATAAAACAACATTGATGGAAAGATGCTTGCAAGGAAAAAAATCGTTACTATAATGATAATGTAAACTGAGAAGAAAAAGGAAGAAAGATCTCTGCTTGGCCACAGGCCGATTATCAATAAATTACATCGAACAGTGAAGAAAGAGCAACATAACAGGACTAACTGTCCATCAGAAGAATATTATTATGATGAGTATTACATTATCAGAATAGAGCAGAAAAAAAAAGAAAGAAACGAAAGATATTTTCTACGATATCTAACTAATCATTTTGTGTAATAAATAACTTTGAGTTCATTTGAAGATTAATATAACAGTAAAACAAAACGATGGCTATTTATTCTTCTTCTTTATTATCACTATTATTCTTATTATTGATAACACACGTATGTACTCATGATAGAATATTCTATTGTTAATAGCATTGTAATTTTTCTCCTTGATGAGTATAATCTTATTCAAAACTTGTGAGGAGAAAAATGATATAAAACTTCTATATATGAAGTCAATTGCTTTTTCTTGTTTTTATTAGTGTGTTAATACTGCTAGTCTTCGTTCATATTTGCATTCATCTTCAACATGGTCTTTGGATCGTCGACATTCTCCATCCATTGTTGACAATGAGTTGACAACATCAGAACCTGTATTATCACGAAGACGTCCTCTATTGTCATCAAGTGAACGACGAAAACGTTGGACAAAAGAAGAAGATAATGATGAAGTTGAAATTCCAATTGATGAAACAAATATTGAACAAATTATTAGTACAACTACTATTGATAATGAATCAACAGTATTACGAAACAATTCGAATGATATATTTTCATTCGATTCAACTATGATAATAGAACAGTCAAATATAAGCGATTCTCAAATAAATGTCGATGAAAATTCTACTATAATTTCAACTATAACAGAAATAAAATATCCATTATTACGACAAGATTTATTTGAAATTAATGAAACAAATATACTAACAACTACTATTTCAATTAATGATGAGATTTTACAAAATAATAAAACTGATATTGAACAATCAAATGAAAACAATGATAATGTAACTACAATTAATAACATATTTCCATTAACAACATCCAATGAAATCATTGATATTAATTCAACAGAATCAGAAACATTATCAACAAATGTTACGGATATCAATCAAATAATATCAAATGAATCCACTACTAATACAATAGATAATCTGACAACTATTGCGATCATCAGCAAGTTTTGATTATAATAAATCTAAATCTCTTTTTTTGTTCCTTTTATTATTATAGGTAATGAAACTGAAACATCATCAATTCCAATTTCTATAAATCAAACTCTAGAAGAAACATCAATTATTTCTCAAATTGAACTTTCAACAGTAACTAAAGTCGAGTCCGATACATCCGCTATCCTTCTCAATTATACTACAATTCTTCCTGAAGAAACAAATGATAATCAAACATTAATTGATTCAGAAACAACAATTGCTTCAGAATATAATACCACAGTAATTGATGAGAGTATTGATACTACGATCATTATTAATGCTACACAAAATGGTACAACATTCGTTGAGAAAAAAATAACTAATGCTACAACCATACCAGATGTTGTACAAAATGTTACAACAGTAACTGATCAAGGAATAGGTGATACGACTGTGACTTCGGAAGTAGTCACACAGAATGATACATCAACTATGATTTCTGATGATGATGAATATGCAAATGAAACTACAAGTTCTTTACCCGAAACAACTGTAAAACCTATATGTGATCTTTCATGTCAATGTTCACAAGAATGTTCATATGGATTTGAAATTATTGATAATAAATGTCAATGTGATCCACCTTGTAAAGTAAGTAACAGTAAAAAGAAAATATTCTTATTCAAATAATTTTGTTTATTTCAATAGAATTATCAATGCTTTGGTGATGATATATGTACTGTAACTAAAACAGGACAAGCTTTATGTAAACCAGAAAATGGAACTGAACATGGTAAACAAACAAAAACTAAAATAAAAATTTTTTATTTTTTAACTATTTTATTAGATCGTCCAATTCGTTGTTATCAACCGCGAGATGCAGGTTATCATGATGTCAGCATTCGATATCATAATCGATGGTATTATGATCCCATGCAAGATACATGTCATTTATTTGTTTATCGTGGTTTGGGTGGAAATGAAAATAATTTTGAAACATTACATGACTGTCATTTAGAATGTATCAGTATGTTTCTTACCTATTCTTTTCTTTAAAAGAATATATTTTATAAAAATTTGTTTGATGAATTGTTTTTTTTAGCTTGTGCTCCATCGCCAGATCCGGGTACATGTTTCGGTCGTCTTCAAATGTGGTATTATGATTATAAACAAAAAAAATGTTTACCATTTGATCATTCAGGCTGTAAAGGCAATCAAAATAAATTCTTACGAAAACAAGAATGTATTGATACATGTGTTACTCGAATACTCAATCTTTAAAATGATCGATATTTATTTGTTTTTCTTTTCTTTGTTCTTTTTTTTTCTTCTGTATTCATATCAATTAGCTTTGTGTTCTAATATTTCATTTCTGCTTATGTGTGTTTATTCAATATATATAAATTTTTGTTTGTTAAACAAACAAGTATAAAAGAAAAAGATAAACATTGTCTATTTTATACTAATGTTCAAAATGTGTAACGAAAGTTAACATAGTACGTTATCTTTATTGCTTAAATGAATACATGTCAAGTATAAGAGATCATTCATAAAGGATGCTCAGGTAAAAATCACATTTTTTGATCTTCGTTTCCCTGAACATATAGAATGAAAAGCCACTATCTAGAAAAGCCCAACTTATTCAAATATCTGTCACTTCCTTTTTATTCAATAAATATATCAAAAAATGAAATGAATAAATATTCATTTCATAAACAACAAACAAATATATAATCTATTGTAAAAATTTTTTGTTAACTAGCTGCCCATTTGATATGTGTAGGGTAAGCTAGGGTTCTTTATGGATAGTCTCTAAGAGTGTTATTCAAAATTTTGAAGGGATTACTTTGATGCTATAGTTGAAATCCGATTGTGCCTGGAATAAAACTTTTTAAACACATTAGGAAATTTTGATTGTCGCGTTATTTGTGTCTGTAATTTACAATATATTGTTAAAGTCTGTTCTATATTAAGTTATGATATGAGTAGAGAAATTCTTGAGTTTTTTGCTATAAAAATTCTTTCTACAGAAATCATTGACATCAACTGTATTTCACAAATAACTCATATTATCTATGGAGCTAAATTTGGCAACTATATCCAATTATTATCTATATTTTCTTATGTCACTATTACGTCTATAAAAGCAGTCTGTAGGCAAAAAAAGGCATTATAAATCATTTATTCAAAAGACTCTATGACATCAAATTTTACTATAGCATGGTTGTTTAGATAACTTATGCATATTAGCAGCCATCATCAAAACATCAATATAATTTGTTCACTTTTCTGATTTTCCGAATAATAAATTGATAATTCATTCATATTACCATGCATACTAACGTTCGACTCTATTATTAACTAGTGAAAGTGATCTAAAGAAGTAACTGTAATTTTTTCTCATCATTATTCATAGTTAATAGAATAAATAAAACAAACTTTTGTTTGTTATTTTTTTAATAAATCATGCAAATTTTATTTTCTGAGGATTCATCATGACTATGTTCATAAATAAAGAGAATATATTACAGTAGGACTTCAGAAGAGAAAGACAAAATAATAAATTTTCCTAAAGACAAAAATTAAAGTCACATTTTGTACAGACAAGAAGCAATGATGGCATTGTTTCATCTTCATTATGCCATAATGTTGAATGAAGTTTGCTTTCTTGACAATGAGACATTGTTTGTCGATGATAACCATGAATTTCATCTAATGATCCACCTTTGATTTGATATTGAAATGAACATTGTCGACATGTTATAGGATAATTCGATGAAAATTGAAAAAGTGAATCATTTGAACAAATTGGACATCGAGTTTGATTAAATTCATCAACTGATGGTATATATTCAGGTTGTTCATCAGGTATTGATTGTAATTGTTCTAATTCAAGTTCACGACGAATTTCATTCATAATTGCCCAATTAGCTTCAAATTCAGCATCTTCATCTGACACTGATAAATTATTTCCATCCATATCCATTGACATTACAGGTGTTGGTGGTAATGAACCAAACATTTTAATCCATTCTGATTCAACAATATCACGAGCTGATAATGTTGGTTGATTATCATCAAACTTAAAATTAAATTAAAAAAAAAAACTAATTTCAAAATAAAAAGTAAACTAAGACATACAGAAAGTTGTCGCATTTTATTCACAATTTTATCACGTGCTCGTTTAAATTGTTGTTTACAATGAAGTCGATAACGATCTTTCCATGTTTCATCACCACGTACTGTTGGTGATGGCATTTTATACAATACTGAATGTGTTGTTTGACGAGCTGGAGAACCAGGATATGTTGACATTCTAGAGAATTTTATATGAAAATCTAAAATTAGATTTAAAGAAAATCTTTAATTTTTTTTTGTTTTTTTCATTGATAACAGAAATAACCTTTTGATCTATAAAGAACTATTTTGTATTAATACAACTCAAGAATTGGTTTTTGTTAAATATAGTCGGTACCATACGAACGATTCTTTCCATAGAAAATTTCCAGTTATGAAAGTGCATTTGAATCTATAGGTTAGATGGTCACTAAGTTATGAAGCGACTTTTTTTAAACGAAACGGCAAAGCTGATGCATTGAAAAGTGACTCGATCTATCTTTCCTTTTTTCCTGTCGGCAGCAGCTGGAAATATTGGCAACTTCGACTGGAAATGTTTGAAACTTTGACGACGGTAAATCAAATTTTTTGATGAATTTCGAAATGCGAAAGGGAGGAGACGATGGCAAAGTACTTATTGATGATAATAAACCAGACGGCAGCGTTTCCTAAAATTGATTTGGGATATTGGGAATTTTTAAAAACCAAATGTCTACTTTTGTGTGGTGGCAGCTCAGCCGATGGACTCACATCTCTAACAGTAAAATGCTTCTTTCTTCTTTTCGAGACAAATTTTTGGAACTGCTTAAATCTTTCTTGATCAGATTGAACAATCCAATGCAATACATCAATCCATGTTTTTCTGACTTCTAGATGAAATCTACTTAAACATTATTACTGTCTTTCATCAACCGTTGTCGGTATAATCAGGCATGATTTGGCTCGACATGTTGTCCATATTTGACAATCTTCTAGATTGATCGTTTATTCTCTTCCTAGTCATTAGATTGCATCTGTAAATAAAAGATTCGTTTGATGGATAAATTTCTCTCACTCATATCTTTGAAATTCTCATTAATATTGAATAATTCATTCCGAATATAGAGTAACAGAGATACAATTATATCAGTAAAAAAACTTGATATACCAGCTATCTCGGGAATAAATAAAGCTGTCAATGATGGTAAGCATCTTCGACACTAATATGTCCATTAGTTTAAATTTAAATTTGGTCAACTTGTATCAATACGAAGCCTTCAAAAATTAACAAAGAAAACTTTTCATGTTTGTTTATCGGAATAAGCTTTTTTTTTCTTTTTTTCTTTTTGTTAAACCCACAACAAATACACAACAACTAAGATTGTAATATAATAATGATAAGTATAGATAAAAGAAGACCCAAGCAGATAAATGATAAAATAATCACAAAACAACATTGAGTAGTAAATTCTTCTTCTTTTCTTGTTAACTTAAAGTTGAAGTTTTATTGGTTTAGGTAAACTTGTCTTATGTTCTAATAACATATCTGTATCCATAGCAATACCAGCACATGCTGAAAGAATATTTGTTATACACCGATGTTGTTTAAAAAGTGCATTTATAACTGGTGTACCCGGTGGAACCATAGGAGCTTTAAGAAGATATGATAAAATTGATAAAACCGATTCAAATGATTGATATTCTTCACTATCATTTGTTTTATATGTAATACGTGTCAATAATTCAGTTAAAATAACTAAATCAATAATTAATGGAGAAGCTAAAAGTGAATCTTCACATGTATTATGAATAGCTATTGTATTAAGACCGTTCATAAATATTGATGATATATATTCATCCATGGCCCGTTTCGAATCTAAAAAAAACAAGCAATTTCTTTTCTTTTTTGCATTTAAGAACTCCCCTCAAAAATCGATCTTGAACCAAATACATTTCATATCACATGAAATTTTCAGGATATGTTGAGACTGTAGTCGAGGAACAATTCAAAATTTTCTATGGGTTCGAGCCCGTCAGGTTTATGATATTCGAATCCAGATCCAGTCGAACCATCCTTTAATACTCTTAATGAAAATTTTTAATCAGAATGGTATAGTTGCCTCATACATACGAGATACGTTTTTCGAGTTTTTTATACTCAGTGACTAATGCATCTTACACATTTATCAGACGACTAGAGCTCACCGTGACCAATCCGTTGTGCTCGACTATGGATCATTATTCTATAAATTTAGTGTTTTTTTTTATTTGAAAGAGTATGTCAGATTGTAGTGCTCTGTTTTTTTTGATGTCGTACCTTTTATGCATAGAAAACGAATGAAAAGTTCGATACATCGAAAGAAAAACTCAAAAAATGCTCATTTTTTATATAATGATAAAAAAGCTAAGTTCAAAAAATGAACGCTGCCAAACATTACAATTTCACATGATCTGTCAAACAAAACAAAAAGCAACTAACTGCAATGAAGCTCTTTTGAGCGTCCTAGAAAAGCATATTCCTTAAGAAGAAAGTGACAGCAATCATCAAAAATTTTTGGCAAAAAATGATATACGAAACGAAAATCATGTCGTTCATGAAAGATCAAGCCTCGGTAGAACGCATCGAATCCAAAATTCCTGAATCCGAACCTGTTTAACAGAGAAATTCCACATTCGGAACTAATTCCACAGGGTCTAGATCTTCCCACGCACTTATCTCAATATCGATTTTTCTAACGAAAATTGACTTTTTCCTTAGGGATGAACCTAAACTAAATTTAAAGAACAAAAAGAAATATCATTTTTACCTTTAACAAAAGGAACATATTTAATGACTACAACATGATCAGGATGTTCATTCCTTTGTTTATTATAAAGTAAATGATTAGCACCGACCATATCATCGACAACATTTGATTTACTAATTTCTTTTGAACGAAATTGTTGTGGTGCACTTAAATTTTTTCCATCATTATTTCCTAAGTGATTATAGGAAACAATTGATTGAAGTTTTAAACCAGCCGAAACAAGAAAATCAGCAAGAACTGATTTTAATTTTGTTTGTCCACTTTTAAAATCATCACCACCAATAAAAACATTATGTTTTGCTGCAAGTTCAATTATACCTGGTACTAATGTATTTTGTGGACTACCATTTATATAAGAACAATTTTCTAATATAGCAGCACAAGCAAATATATTTGATGGACTTATTTCTTCTTCGTTTGCAGCAATCGATTGAAGAATTTCATCACTTGTTTGATTTAAGCCTGAGCGAACTGAAGGAAAAGAAAAAAAAAAAAAATTTTGCTTTGCGATCAAATAATTAAAGAAAATTTTGCTAAAATTTTTACCGTCAACATAACGTTCCGTATTTGCTGTCCATAAAACAATAACCTGTTCTAAATTATGAGTTCTTTTAAATGTTCGAATATCATTTCGTATATGTTCTAAATCTTGTTGTTTAGTTCCTTTTGGTATTAAATTATTTGCACGATCTTCTTGATTTGCAGCAATAAAATCAGGATAATAAATTGATGGTAATGGTTTGAGTTTACTCATCATTGGATTTAATTTTTCTTGTAATGCATAATCAAATACACAAGCACGTTTCATTCCTTCAGATAAATTCGCTCCATTTATATCCCATCCACCAATAACGATATCATTGGGATGTAACATAGGTAATATTGTATTAAATGGTATATGAACTTCTTTACCTTCATTGTTACTTCCAATTCGAATGGTTGTCGATTGAGTTAATGAACCATAGTAATTTGGAAATTGTTCACCCTCTAGAAAAGAATGAGTCTAAAAATTTTGAAAAATTAAGTCTCTTCTTCAGGTATATGTATAATGCGGCTCTGGAATAATTGAAGTTACAAACTAACTACTACGCCTCATGATGTTCCAAACTGATCTTTCCAAAGAGAGAATTTGAATTAAATACTAGTAGAAATGATAATTAGATATAGATGACTAATTAAATAATGACTTTTGTGTCCCTAGTTATTCTATTGAAAATCATTTTCTATATTCACAAAACGTCTGTAATTTTTACTAAATAGGATTTTAAAAAATAACCAGTAGAATAACTCATGTATTTTTCCTTTAGTCACAGTAAGAAACCCAGCACAATATTAGCTTTTGTTTAGATACATTGAATAAAAATTAAAATGACATTTAAATTATTTTTTTGATATTATTCATACCTTTACGCATCCATGTTATTTTATCTCTATTAGCAATAATAGCACCAGTACATGTTGTACCATTATTTCCACCCCAACCAACAAGCATTACACCTGTACGTTGTACTTGACGTTTTGTACGAAAATTATATTGATATTTTCGTGGAATGATTTCGACACGTTTTGTTCGATGATCAACTTCACAATGATTCATTTCATATATATATTTACTTTCAATAAATTCATTTGAATAAGTTGTATTGTTACTATCAACACATATTGAATAATCCGACGTAACACCTAAATAATTTTTCAAAAACAAAAACGACAAATTAACATAAATCTACATATTTTATTATTACCATAATGATCAGCTGGATTAATATGTTGATTATCTTCACTAAGTGAATTAACTTCAACAATCGCTGTTGACTTAGAATTTTGTTTCATTAATGGCGTATGACCATTCGTTGCCATGATATCTGTTATTTTTTTTTTTTTTGTTTATTCTGAAATACGAAAAAAAAAGAGCAACATTATATAATACACATATGTTTTTTTTCTATATCATGGACGGATCAATGGAAATATTAATATCCATTTATTTGAACCAAAAATCTGAGAAAAAGTTTGTTTATTTCTAAAAATCATTTTCTTTTCTTCATAATATGTTTGTCCATTCAATGATCTTTTCATTATTTGATAAAATAATTTACTTATAAATATTATATCAAAATAAACAAGATAATGATGCAAACAAATAAATGCTTGCCATTTTGTTTTAACAAAACCAATTAAATATCCAATATTAAAAAGTAAAATTTTAAATATATTCAAAAAATGAAAACCACCTATTTCATTCCATAAATAACTACAAACAAATATATAACCAATCAAATGTGCACATAAAAGATAGAAAAGCATTAAAAGAAAATATCGTTGATTATGTTTACCAATACATGTACCAACAAAAAAACAATGATGATCTTGTATTGGTATACAATGCTGACATAAATTACAATGATGTGATCGTTCTAGAGTATAATTTAAACATTTATGACAATATCGATCGATTTTTTCTTCATTACACAATGATATCGAAGAAAATGTTGTAAGAATTAAATTCGTATAGCCTTGCAAAAAGAAATATAAAAAAATAATATTGAAAACGAAATATGTAAAATTTGATAACTGATTTTGTTCGCGATACGCTGGTACAACAATAAAATAAATGAAATAAAGTGCATAAAGTAGCCCTAGATAAGCATAGAACCACGCTATACGATTTAAAGAACGCAAGAGAAAAATTTTCATCTAGAATAAATCAAGGTCATTTTAAGTACATGTTATTTTAGCACCGGTTACTTGTTGTTTTAAAAAACAAAATAATTTATTACGAATTTTTACTATTCATATTTACTTGCTCAAGTGCATTAATTAATAATTGAAATTGTTGATTTTCATCAGTTTCTATTAGATTTAATTTAAATTCATTTTGAATTTTTTCTAATAATTTTTGTTCATCACCATGTGCTACAATTGTTAATGAACAACCATAAGCACCAAAACGACCAGCGCGACCAATACGATGTAAATATGTTTCACTATCATTAGGTAAATCCATTGAAATAACAAAATCAACATAATCTAAATCAATACCACGTGATGTTAAATCAGTTGTAACTAATATTTGACATTTATGTTTATACATATCACGCATAGCTTTTGTTCGACGATTTTGTGCTAATGAACTTGATGTATATGTTGTTTCATAACCTAAAGATTTTAAACGTTCACAAACAGCTGATGAACGCATACGAAGATTTGAAAAAATTAAACATTGACGAAATTTTAATTGAGGTAATATACGTAATAGTAGAAGAACTTTTTGTTCAAATAAATATGAATCTATTGGATGATGTGGAATTAAAATATAAAATTGTTGAATACCAATTAGACTTGGCGATTCAGAATCAACTAAACGTACACATGCCATATCACGCATATAACGTTCAGAAAAACGAACCATATGTTCAGGATATGTTGCTGATGCCAATAAAACTTGTTTATTAGATGGCATATATGAAAATATTGAATTAATTTGATCCTTAAGAAAAAATAAACAAATAAATATTCTTCATATACATAAAATCTACAAAATTACAGTGTGTCTCTGTTGTATTTAACCCCGTTTTTTTTCGTAATTGATATATAGCGAGAAAGTATAGACTTCACTGCATTGCTTGATATATTAATCATGAATAATACATCAAATTCACAGAACAAAAAAGTGTATTAGAAGAAAAAAGATGGCATTTTTTCAATACAATCTACAATAAGAGTAAGTCGAATTTCTGTCTACCATGTTTTTTTTTTGGTACGTATGAACGTATTCATAGAGTCAGTGGCGTTGTTTCGAACTCAGTCGGGTTCGAAAATTTTGAATCTGATAGGCTCTACATACTCACCTTCCGTTTGACTTTAATTCTTAGTAAGGATTATTTTTCTGAAAAAAATCTTTTAGCATGGACATATGTAAAAATGCTTCATCTTTCACACTACTATTGCTAGTTTTTTTACTTATAATTCCTCTGAACAAAGGTCTCTAGTGATGGTTTTTTCAACATATCTGAAGTAATTTAACACATACATGTTCTGGATGTATTTTTTGTTTTCTGAACTTTATGCTTTAGTCATGATTAATAGATGAAGTGAAGTCTGTACTTTTTTGCTATAAATCAATTATTGAAAAGAAACGACAGAATAGAGTAGTGTTAAATAAGAAAAGCAAACGGCGGAAATTCATTGAGGCATACTGTAATTTGGAGTTCCCCCTGTGTTATTGCATTAGAATTTACAAGACTTGTTCTAGTAGAAATAATGAATGTAGGCACATTTTTTATTGATGGATTTCTCATTGGGTGAAGTTACTAAAAGGAATGCTCTATTTTTGAATCAATACATACTCATACTACATCATTCTTCGTATAAAAGATCTCTGAAATTTGTGAGGAAGTTAGAAAAGAAAGTAAATAATTCTCAAACTTAATAACCAATTGATAGTTTCGTTTATTTAGTAAATAAAAGTTCATTAACTAATCTGCATATGTTTAATGAATCTTCATAGTTTTATGTCAGGCAATACAGATTGACTCCGTTATTGAAAGAATTAATTCAATAAGTCTGCTTTTACGTGCTCTCTTTAACATGCAAGTTTTTATTGTTTCCAAAAATATTCCCAAGCAAAGTTCCCTGAAAATTTCAGATAAACTTCTCAGAAAATTTGGCAACATTTCTAGTACAAATATACAAACAAAAAAAATATATGAACGTCCACGAGAAAAAAAAAGAATGACTACGAAAACATTGTTTGTCGAAGAAACATGTTCTTGAAACATTCTACATGGGTTAAAACATTAAGCTTCTTAACAATTTGTTTTTTCAATTATTTTTTTTCTATAAACTTTTCTTCAACAGTCATGCCTTATACTTTTGTAAATGATATATTTCAGATGAAATATTATTTTGAAGGCAGAGAAGGGTCTCAGCTCTTACCCTACGAGCTTCTAAGTTGCCCTGGCGAGCACGTATAGTTTATTTCATGGAACTCAAATGTGTTTTCGAACAGTAGAAAAATATATCTTTCAAAAATCTTCCTCTCTATACTAGATCAAGTTCTACTGCGTGCCGTTGACATGATCATAACTGGTTCCACGATCCTACATATATTTTAGTCTGTAATCAAAACCTTATAGTCATCTTTCTATTTTCAAACCAGAATGCTGATATAAAATTTTTAAAATGTATAAAACGAAGTAATTACTTGAAATTCTTTGCATAATAGTACATCTGCTTCGTCTAAAACAAGTAATCGAATTGTATCAGGTCTAAGGTATTTTAATCGAAGTAATTCTTCAATTCTTCCTGGTGTACCCACAACAATGTTACATTTTTTTAAATGATTTTGATCATCTTTTAATGCTGTACCACCAATAAATGTATGTACAATACATTCTGGTTGTTTGATTGTTTTAATAACTTGAACAATTTGTTGTGCTATTTCACGTGTTGGTGCAAGCATAATTACTTTTGTTTTTATTACAGATAAATTTCCATCATCATCATTATCAATAGTTTGTACAAATTCAAGAGCTGTGATACTAAAAACAAGTGTTTTACCAGTACCAGATTTCGCTTGAATAAGAAGATCAAGTCCAAGAAGTGCTAATGGTAATGCTTGCAACTGTATTGGTGATGGTTTAATAAAACCAGCTTTTGTAAGCGAACTAATTGTTAGTTCCGAAATAGCCAAATCTTCAAAAGTAACATTTTCATCTGTTTTAACATCATCTGTTATACCTCTTTCAGCCATTTAAACAAGATGAAAAAGATAAAACAAGATTAATAATATCTGGGTACTACTACACTTTAGGCACAGTGTGTATATATGAACAGAACAGAAAAAAAATGTGATTGGTGAAAAATTGACCCTCACATATAAAAAGATCATACAGCGACTAAATTAATATATCACTTCTTAAAGATGACNACTACCATTTTTCCTAAAACCTATGACGATTCGCCTGAGTACTTAAGCCACTCGTGAGTCATACATCAATCGACGCAGAATTTTATGCTCTATCCAACGGCATATAAATCATTTCGATAAAAGTCTCCCATAACAGACTGCGTTCTTGGAAAGTCTCCAAAACAGGGTTTTCGAAAGTATTACCTCTGACGATTCGCACAGAAACTTAAGCCACTTCTGAACACCACACTATTAGATGCAGAATTTTACGCTCTATCGAATGGTATACAACTTGCACGCCTCACCATCAATCAAAGACGCTTTTGACACAAAAAACCATCAAAACCAGAAAACTTCCAAAATGTACCCATTAATTCCTCTGACGATTCATTCAGGTACCTAAGCCACCGGCGTCACATATACCATTCGATGCAGAATTTCAAACTCTATCGAATGTGTTACACCTTGCACGGCTCACGACCAATCATGAAGGATTTTGACCGTAATAACCTTGAAAAATCTGAAAAAATGAACTTTCTACCCATTCATTTCCCTGATGATTCGTTCAGGTAGCTAAGCCACCGGCGACACATATACCATTCGATGCAGAATTTCAAGCTCTATCGAATGGCGAACAACTTGGGCGGTTCACTAGCAGTGAGATGGTGTTCTCAACCTAGAACTCGGATAAAGTGCGAAAAGTGGGAATTTCTACCCATCAATTTCTGAGACGATTGGTTTCGGCACTGAAGCCACGAACAAAAATTGCAGAATTCAGTTGAAAATGTCGCGCCGTATATGTTTGTATATGTCGTGCATGCATAGACGGAAATGAGATAGCAGTTGGAAGGGCTACCGATGAAAAGTGGGTAAAATTGGTATGTCTCCCTAGCAGTTGTTGTGGCCATTCGTTTGGATTCAAGGGCTGCAGAGAAAACGCATTAGATTTTGCGCAGAATCAGACGCTGTTTCGAATATTACACTGCTTATTTGGCTAGGCACCAGAGTGATAAGAGTTTGATATATCGATGTGCTAGAATTGGAAGAGAAAGTGGGATTTCCTTCCATTAAGGCTCCTAACGTTTCGAGATAGAGCATAAATCAGGGGTGATGTATGCCGCATGTAATCCAAATTCTGCACCGCATCTGGTGATGGCACCCGTCCGCGCATAAAAGAAAGATTTCAGAAGTCTGTGAAACCAAAGAGGCTTGGACAAATAGTGAAACTCGCCGAACCTGAGAACTAATTCTCGGGACTATTCATAGAAGTGCACAAGCCACTGAGAGATCCCACAGGATTGGATAGGCCTATCAAGCCGGCATCGAATGCTCTGCGATTCGTCAGTGGCTCATGTAGCTGAACGAATCGTTAGGCGAATTAATGGCTATAAATTTCATTTTCTTCAGGTTTTTAAAGGTTTTTACGGTCAAAATCCTTCATGAATGGTCGTGAGCCGTGCAAGGTGTAACACATTCGATAGAGTTTGAAATTCTGCATCGAATGGTATATGTGACGCCGGTGGCTTAACTACCTGAACGAATCGTCAGGGAAATGAATGGGTAGAAATTTCAATTTTTTCAGGTTTTTGAAGATTTTTACGGTGAAAACCTTCTATAATTGGTCGTGAGCCATGCAGGTTTTACAACATTCGATAGAGCTTGAAATTCTGCATCGAATGATATATGTGTCGCCGGTGGCTTCACTACCTGAATGAATCGTCAGAGAAATTAATGGGTACATTTTGGAAGTTTTCTGGTTTTGATGGTTTTTTGTGTCAAAAGCGTCTTTGATTGATGGTGAGGTGTGCAAGTTGTATACCATTCGATAGAGCGTAAAATTCTGCATCTAATAGTGTGGTTTTCAGAAGTGGCTTAAGTTTCTGTGCGAATCGTCAGAGGTAACACTTTCGAAAACCCTGTTTTGGAGACTTTCCAAGAACGCAGTCTGTTATGGGAGACTTTTATCGAAATGATTTATATGCCGTTGGATAGAGCATAAAATTCTGCGTCGATTGATGTATGACTCACGAGTGGCTTAAGTACTCAGGCGAATCGTCATAGGTTTTAGGAAAAATGGTAGTTTTCTCCTATGGGTGTTTTTGATTGTTTTGGCTTTTTTGGCGTTGAGGTGGGAGTTTCGGGGAATCTGAGGACACCATTAGATAGAGCTCGTCGAGTTCTAGGTGGCTTAATAGTTTTCTTTTGTGGCTTAGTCCCTCAGGCGAATCGTTGTGGAAAATACTCGAATCGGCTGCTAACTTTTCTTACATTATACGGGGTATCCCATAAATTGTGAAACGTTTTTAAAAATCACTGTTCTTAAATTCTACAAAAACGAATTTTTTGAATAGCTTTGCAAAGCTATTTTACATGCTTACTACTACATAACCAGAAAATTTGAAGTCTATAGCTTTTACTATGGCTGATGACCGGTACGAAGATTGTCACAGAGTATTTTTTCGACTTTCCACGTCATTTTGACTAATATTTTTAATACAATACAACTTTTCGAAATATGAAGAAACTCGTATAAAGCTATCAACGTTCATCTATTCGATTACCATTCTTATCGATTGCTAATTTTAATCTGGCTGATATATAATTGATCATTCGTTGACATAAAGAAATACTAAATTTGTTTTTCTTTCCTTTTTAATCTCATCGTTCAGTTATCCAAATATCACTGTATTTCCTTTCTCGTAAGCTCTTCATTAATGTACACAAAATGTTTCCTATGGACAGAGATCCCGCGAAGGATCTACGATTGGGGGGTGTAAAGGAAGTATTGGCGACTAAATTTGACAAAAAAAGGGCGAAACGTACAGAAAATCTACTGTTGCCGCTGAAAAAGTTTAAATTTTCCAATTATTGGGGGGGGGGGGGGGCGGAGGTGTATTCAGTCCCTTACTTGCACGGCCCCTGTCTATAGATCAAACGCTGGCTTGCTCTGCAGCACAACTGATTAGTTCAAATTGATTAATAACAACATGTTCGACGGTATCCGTAGCCATGTGCATGCTTTGTTTAGTATCTTGATCATCTTTAAAAATGACATAAAAAAGGAATGAAAAAAATTTAGTGTTTCTCTATGCCAACGAATGGTAGATAAAATATCAGTCAGATTAAGATAAGTAATGGATCAAGAGAGCAAGCGAATGCATGAACATAGATAACTTGCTATGAATTTCTTTGTAGTCGAAAAATTGTATTGCATTAAAAGTTTTAACCAAAATGATATGGAAAATGGAAAAAATATTCCGTGGCAAGCCTCTTACTGGTTCTCATCCAAAGAAAAAGCTATAGATTTCAAGCTTTGCAGTTATGCAGCACTGAGCGTGTACAATAGTTTTCCAAAGCTTTAAAGAATTTGCTTTTGTTGCATGCGAGAACGATGAATTTTAAAATCGTTCCAGAACTTCTAGGATATCCATTATATATATATGATGGCTTGATTGAATTTATTTTAGAGTCAGGATTGTTCAGAAAGGTTCAAAGTAAGAGCATTGACAAATCTATGAGATATTTATGATGATGCACCTGTAAACTCATCCACACAAAAAGTCTTCAAAATCAGTCATATTTCAACATCAGAACATATGTTAGTGCCAGGATACTTCTGATACACCCAAGTACTAAGAATGTTCCACCTGCAATCTATACAGATCATCCTATTTGCGAGGAAAAATTAGCCAATGTCAAGAATTCCAAACTTTATAAGGCTTCAAGACTGATGCTTCTGATGTTTCCTCCTTGCTCCATTCGAACAGCTGAGTTGTTCAACATTGGCAAATGACCTTGAGATCTTCGTAAACTATCAAAAAATTAAGAATGCATGTCCTAGTAGATTATCGATTCTCAATGCATCGTTGCAGTGCATAATGATTAGCGAAGAATTTCATGGCGATATGCTAGCTGATATTGCAATATCGAACAGGAACTTTTTACCAGTGGAAATTAGATCAATTTATGAACAGAAGACAGCGGTCGATAAAGTTGACGTAGTTGGAATAGGGAATTTGACTATCTTGTTTCCATTCATACTTGTCTGTTAGATTAAAAGAGTACATTAATGAGCAGTCTCGTCTTTTTACTAATTGCACACATATAAGATTTATTTTTATTTTCGTTCATTGGTTACATGTTGTCGGAATTTTAAACAGTCTGTCCGTTCTCTAATGTGTTTACACTTCTCTTTTTTTTTGCCAGTATAGAAGTTTGATCCACCGACAGCTCAGCTGCACAATATGAACACTGTCTGTTTGAAAACGTCATCGAACATTACAGCTACTTCACATTTATCTTGATTCTCAAGGTCAATTTGCAGTGACAAATGACTCCACTGCAGAAACTAGACTGAGGTAAAAATAGTCGGTTTTGAGGAATAACAAAAGAATAAAATTGATGTAAAACGAGCAGATCATTAAGACTTTGGTTTCTGTTACAAGTACTAAACACAGTTAGACTCACAATGCAACAACTTTAACAAGTTGATATGCAACTACTTCCCGGACTTTTTTGCATAAACAAAATATGATCTAAAAAGTAAAATCCGTGCTTTCTCTTACCTCTTTCTTGTTCTCATAACTTTTCATCTGCTTCTGTGTTTTCTCTAAATATACGAACTATTCACATTTTGTTTCCCTAGTAGTGGGAACGTGTGAGTTTGGAATGGGTATGATTGAGAGGAAGATCTACACCCACACCCACACTATCAAAATAATACTTTAATGAGATAAATTTCAAGTAAAACTAATTATCCTTTTTCAAAAGCAAAGGTATACATATGTTTATATTCATTGTTTGATTATACTAGAGACCTGCATTGGAGTCAACTAAGTGGCTCA